AAACGCATGTGAGCAACACGTGATGAGTTTTACGTAATACGGGGTGATTTGCCCGGTGTAATTCCCCAAGTATTTTCAATTGACTTTATATCGCGAATATCGGGGCTTTTCACATGGAGTATTACCCCACTTCACGTAAAACGGATGAAACTCCGTTTAACACAAACAGAGGCGACAGCCCAGGTGACTTACAGCATCTCTGTGGGGGTCCTCCATATCCTTCAACAGTTTCCCAGCGCTGAGATCCCACAGCCTTACAGAGCCGTCACTACCGCCACCGACCAGCCATTTGCCGTGTGGTGAAAATCTAACCTACAACAGCGGAGAGGATGCGATACAAGCAGGAGAGCGCAGTAACTCACAACCCGTATTTTTCCGTCACTCGCCACGAAATTATGCCGGTTACTTCCTGACTGATGATGACCTCGATATATCTGTACGCACTTCTGTTGGCGCAGATCCCAAATCTGAGGAGAAATGTCGGCGTGGTTGTTTACATGATACAATTTAGGCTCGAAAACATTATCAAGAATTATGGTTCAACAGTAGAGCACTTGACTCTAGATCCGACAATCGTCAGTTCGATTCTAGCCGAGCTCATTCACCAGAATTATTCTGAACGATTTCCCATACAAACGACTGAAACCATACAGTGTGCGCAATCTAAAAATTTCGTTTAATGTCACCGCCATAATTTTTCCCCAGAAACCAAACTGAACTGAAATTTTGCATACATGCTCTCCTCGCACTTCGATGTTGTTAAAATATGTATCTTCCCTTTTATCTAGCAATGAAAGAATATGATGAAGTTTCACCCTAGTGATATGAAAAACACTAGTGAATAACATATTCCACGACTACTGCATAGCGCCGCGAATATCGCGTTTTTCACCGAGTATCACGCCACTTCACGTAAAACGGGTGAAACTCCAATGTAGAGCAATTATGAATATGAATAGAGAATACGAAATTTATAATACAAGTTATATACTTGGTAGAAA